AGCCGCGATGCAACCAGGGCTGGGACCTCTTGTATTTTTAATCAGTCTGATGACACCGCGGCCACGGCTGATGGGGACAGGGTTATATCTGGCCTCGCAGCACTCCACGTTTCCCCAAAGCCATCGGGGAGGAGGCGGAGCGGGCGCCCCCCGGGAGAGGAGGAGGTTTAAAAATTAACCAGCGTGTGCCGGGAACGAAAGGTCAGCGAGAGAGACAGCCCAAAATAGCAAAGGGTAATTTATTGACACGGCAGACGACGCTCACATACTCAATTAAAGCTGTGCCTCGCTGTGCGCAGGAGAGGGCAGGCGGCGGGAACAGATGGAGGTTTCCAGGGAAGGGGGGAAGGCTGGAGAGTTGTCCCCGAGGAGGAGAGCAAGGGGTGGGAAGGCAGGGAGGGAAACAGGCCTGGAGAAACCAGGTGGTGTCTCCTCGTGGCCCTCTCCCTCCTCCTCCTCACCTGCATCGCCACCCAACCTGATCAAAAGGCCCCGGCACGCAGAGCTCCATCATTGAAAGCTGCATCCTTCCCAGGCATCTTGCCAGGAAGGTTTTTGGGAGACCAACAGCGGCAGCAATTAGGGGAAAGGGCTGGGGGAGACAGCACTAGCGCCCGGCCAGGGAGGTCTCTCCGGCGCTCGCCCCATGGGCCGGCGCGGGAAGCAGATCGCCCAGGACAGCGTCGGAGCGAGCTGCGTCCCAGCGTCGCTCCCGCCGTAATAGCTGCGATGCGTTGATCTCCCAGATGTGTCACAGGTGGTAACCTAAGCCTCTGCAGCTACATTTGTCTTTAGCTCTCCGATAGCCAGGCTCAAAGCGTCGTCTTACCGTTTCCACGTGCAGCTGAGGGCGGGAGGGGGCTGCGCCGGCTACAATCACAGCACCGCACTCAGGCCACCGTGGGCTGCAGAGGCACCCGAGCAAGCCCAAAGAGAGTTCCCCGTCTGCAGTTTCCTTCAGTCATAGGTCTTCTCATTTTGCCTCATTCCTGAAGACCGTAAACGTAAAAAGGGTGATTCGTCTTGTTAAAGCGGCTCGCTCAGGGAGAACTGATTTCCCTTTGTGCATTTTCCCGCTTTCCGGTCGAGCCTCGAGAGTGATTTTTGCCGCGCGTCCGGCACGTGCTGTAACCCCCCTGCGTCACTGCGACCTTAATACAACCCAGAGGGCATCTTCCTTGAATATAACCCCCCGCACTCAGCTGGGGACGCACCCACGGGCAGCGTGCCAGGGAGGGCGATTTGCACAGCGGCAGGGGCCCCGGCGGCCGGGCTCCTGGCCACGCACCGGACCGCGTCGTGGGTCGCGGGGTCGGCTGCAGGGAGCCGGCCTTGGCTGAGCGGGCTTGCGGCCTTGGCTGAGCAGCTGCTGGTTTAGGAGAGAGAAAGTGGGGCAGTTTTCCACTTCCAGGCCATGCAAACAATTTGGCCTGCTGGGGCTGAGCTTAGAGCTCGAACAGTCTCAGCGCCCTGCTCACCCGCTGCCTCAAATCCCGGGGGACTTCACTAATTAACAGACCTAATTAGCAGCTCCTGGAGGGTGATGCTTTTTCCACAGAGGCTTTTCCTGCACAGATGCCTCGTCCAGCCCGTCCGCCCGGCTCCATTTAACATGCCTTCGGGCCGCTGCGCATTCAGCAGGCTTTAATCCTCTCTCAGGAGAGGAAATGGGACTGACAACTCCCTTTATCCATCCCCTGGATTAATCAGGGGGAAAACGATCTCGGGAGATGCCAGGGAATTGCTGGAAGCCAGAGCCTGCAAAGGGGTTTCCCCTCTGTGAACAGGCTGGTGTCGCAGCATCTCCACCGGGGCCGACCCCAGAGCGGCTCGGAGCACCCCGGGGTGCCGCGCGGGCCCGAGCGAGGATTGACGCCTCTCTGCACCTTGCAGGAGTGGGCGGACGTGTGTTGCAGGGGGCTCCGGAGTGTCCATGCCTACATCCTGGTCTATGACATCTGTTGCTTTGACAGCTTCGAGTACATCAAAACCATCCGACAGCAGATCCTGGAAACGAGGTACGCGCCGCGTGGTCCCGAGCACGTGGAGCATCTCCCCTGCTGGGCAGCTCAGCCCTCCCCAGCACCCACCTGCTCTCACCCAGCACTGGATATTAGCTCTTACAGGAGCAGGAGAAAGCCCTTTGCAGAGCAGGGAGCCCAGTGGTTAACGCAAAACCCAACGCGAGGGCAGAGCGTGTGCCACCAGGAAGGTTTTGAGGGTGGGCAAGGCAATAACTGTCTGGAGAGCAGCTTTGGCCAGAGTGGAGCATGGGTGGAGGCCGTGAGGAAAGGTCAGGGGACCGCACGTTTGCCTGGCACATACCTCTCCCTGTTGAAAAGCAGCTGAGGTGCTGCCAGGGTCCAGGCTGGGATGGGTTGGAGTTCATGGACTGGCCCAGGAAGCAGCGGGACAGCCAGGACTAGCTCTGCTCTGTGCCTGGTCCCCTTCTCCCCTCCTCCGGTGCTCTTCTATTTGCAGGGTCATTGGCACTTCTGAGACCCCCATCATCATCGTGGGCAACAAGCGGGACCTGCAGAGGGGCCGGGTGATCCCCCGCTGGAACGTCTCCAACCTGGTGAAGAAGACATGGAAGTGTGGCTACATCGAGTGCTCGGCCAAGTACAACTGGCACATCCTCCTGCTCTTCAGTGAGCTTCTGAAGAGCGTGGGCTGTGCCCGCTGCAAGCACGTCCACACCACCATCCGCTTCCAAGGGGCCTTGCGCAGGAACCGATGCACCATCATGTGAGACCTCCTGGGCCCCCGGCCCTGCCCCAGCACCTCTGGGCTTTGCTGCCCATCCCATGCTGGCCTCCACGGAGCTGAGGGGCAGCGGGAGCGGAGGACAGGCCACCACTGGGGTGAAATGCTAGGATGGGCACCTGGCACGGCGCAGGGGACGGCGATGCTGTAGGTAGTGAAGGGTGAGGATGGACCTCAGCTAAATCTGCGGACCCCAAGGCCTCCCAATGCTTGGGACCAGCACTGTGCAGATGTGGGTTGTATCTTTGCTATGCCTGAAGCGCTGCTTGGCAGTGGTGGGGTGGAGGAGACGTCTCAGACGGTGCCCACAGGGTGGCCTCCGGGTCATCCCCATGGGCTGGCCTTGGGCTGCACCGGCTGGTCCTTGGCATCGAGGAGATGCTCGTGAAGAGGGACAGCACTGAAGTTGTCCTGTAGACCTCAAATTCCTACACTGATGTTCATCACCATGTCCCTGCTCCTCGCCCACCTGAGCTGGTCGCCTCCGGTCGCTCCCTGCTGCTCTTGGCTGGTCCCAGGCACCTGGCCGCAGCGGCGTGGTCGTTCGCTTCCCCCACTGAAGAAGAGGCTGGTTTTTCCCCCCCACCAGCTCTTCTTCTCCAGCCTGGGCTTCCTCCAACTCATGCTTCGTCTTTCTCCCCCCTTGTGCCCCGGCTTGACCACTCCGCTGCCCATCCCACCGCCTCTGGTCTGTCCACAACGCAGCTCCCTGCCCCGCTCTCCGC